ATTTTATTATATTTTGTCATTTTACTTTAGTAAAATTTTCTCTTGAATTTATTTATTACAGACATTAAACTCAAACAATAAACTTATTACCAAGAAAGATGTTTAATAAGAAAAGACCAAATTCATCTAGTACGTCAGGTACTTATAACAAAAAGTTTAAAACTGAAAATGAAGATGATGATTTTCAAAGTTCAAGATTTGAAGAAGATCTTGCCCTTATGGATGAAATGGACAAAGAATTTGAAGCATCACCTGAAATGGTCGGTGAAGGACCAGATCAAGAAGGTTCTTATGCATTATGGTCAAGACCACCAATGAGAGAAATTGATTCAAAATTAGACAGCTNTGAGAGAAATTGATTCAAACTTAGACAGCTTAGCTTTTCAGCAACTTACTATTGATTATTATATTGGAGAACCTGTAAAAGGAATGAGTGGAGCTCAAATGGGTCAAGTTCCTATTACTCGTATGTTTGGTATAACAATGGAAGGGAATTCTGTTTGTTGCCATGTACATGGATATTCGCCATATTTTTATACTACTGCTCCTGATGGTTTTGGGCCACAACACTGTAAAGATTTCAAAAATCGCTTGAATGCTATAGTTTTAAATGACATGCGAGGAAATCAAAATCGAGTTCAAGAAACTGTACTTATGGTTGAAATTGTTAAAAAAAAAAATATGTATGGATATCATGGTGAAGATGATGAAACTTATTTAAAAATAACTATGGCATTACCAAAACTTATTGCTGCTGCTAAACGACTTTTAGAAAAAGAACAGGTTTTTCCTATATTTTCTGGACATAATTATAGAATGTTTGAATCTAATATTGACTATGATATGCGATTTATGGTTGATTTAAAAATTGTTGGCTGTAGTTGGATTGAATTACCAAAGGAATCATATACAATACGTAATAATTCTTCTAATTTAAAACCGCATTCTAGGTGTCAAATTGAAGTTGATGTTGGTTGGCAACAAATGATAACTCATATTCCTGAAGGTGAATGGAGCAAAGTAGCTCCCTTTCGCATTCTTAGTTTTGATATCGAATGTGCTGGTCGTAAAGGTATTTTTCCAGAGCCAGACAAAGATCCTGTTATTCAAATAGCTAACATGGTACAAGTTGAAAACAAAAGGTTAATAAGAAATGTATTTACTTTAGATACTTGTGCACCAATTGTTGGTAGTCATGTAATTAGCTGCGAAAAAGAAAACTTAATGCTTGAGAAATGGGCTGCATTTGTACGAGATTGTGATCCAGATATAATTACAGGTTATAATATTAATAACTTTGATTTACCATATTTAATTAATAGAGCTAAACATTTACATACTAAAAATTTCAATTTCTTGGGTCGTATTAAAAATATACAATCTGTTGTGAAAGAACATGTGATACAAAGTAAACAAATGGGTCGTAGAGAAAACAAAAATGTTAATATTGATGGAAGAGTTCCCTTTGATTTATACTTGGTATTAGTGCGAGACTACAAACTACGGTCTTACACCTTAAACTCTGTAAGTTATCACTTTTTACAAGAACAAAAAGAAGATGTTCATCATAGTATCATTACAGATTTACAAAATGGTACACCTCAAACAAGACGTCGTTTAGCAGTATATTGTTTAAAAGATGCTTTTCTTCCATTAAAATTATTGGATAAGTTAATGTGTTTAATTAACTATATGGAAATGGCTAGAGTTACGGGTGTTCCATTAGGTAGTTTACTAACTGGAGGTCAACAAGCTAAAGTGGTATCTCAGTTGCTCCGTCTCGCTAAGGATAAAGGATATATTATGCCAGCTATGTCCAGTGGAATGCAGGATGAACAGTTTGAAGGAGCAACAGTTATTGAGCCGATTAAAGGTTATTATGCAGATCCTATAGGTACATTAGATTTTACTTCTCTATATCCAAGTATCATGATGGCTCACAACCTATGCTATACTACTTTGTTAAATCAAAAAACCATACAAACTTTAAATTTATTTGAAAGTAATTATAAAAAAACTCCATCTGGAAGTTACTTTTTATCTAATTTGAAACGCAAAGGTCTTTTGCCTGAAATTTTAGAAAACTTGCTATCAGCTCGTAAAAAAGCCAAAGCAGATTTGAAATCAGAGACTGATCCTTTTAAACAAAAAGTGTTGGATGGAAGACAATTAGCATTAAAAATAAGTGCTAATTCTGTTTATGGTTTTACTGGTGCACAGGTAGGAAAGCTACCGTGTTTGGAAATTTCAACTAGTGTTACTTCTTATGGAAGAACTATGATTGAAAAAACAAAACAAGAGGTAGAACAAAAGTATTGTATTAAAAATGGATATGAACATGATGCTGTTGTTATTTATGGAGATACAGATTCTGTAATGGTCAAATTTGGAGTAAAGTCAATTGAAAAAGCAATGGAACTTGGTCGTGAAGCAGCTGAATATGTGACAACAAAATTCATAAAACCGATCAAATTAGACTTTGAAAAAGTTTATTTTCCCTATTTACTTATTAACAAAAAACGTTATGCTGGTCTTTATTTTACAAGACCAGATAAGTATGATAAGATGGATTGTAAAGGATTAGAAACAGTACGAAGAGACAATTCTCCTCTTGTTGCTAATATGATAAACACTTGTTTACAAAAATTACTAATTGATAGGGACCCTGATGGTGCAGTTGCATATGCTAAAGAAGTCATAGGTGATTTATTATGTAATCGTATTGATATTTCTCAGCTTGTTATTACCAAAGAGTTAACAAAATCTGATTATGCAGCTAAACAGGCTCATGTTGAATTGTCGTTGAAAATGAAGAAAAGAGATCCTGGTAATGCACCAAAATTAGGTGACCGAATACCTTACGTTTTAATTACTGGTACCAAAGGTACACCAGCATATCAACGTGCAGAAGATCCAATTTTTGTATTAGAAAATAACATACCCATTGATTTTAACTATTATTTAGAAAATCAACTATCTAAGCCTTTAGTTCGAATTTTTTCTCCAATATTGGGGGACAAGGCTGAATCAGTATTATTAAAAGGTGATCATACACGCAAAAAAGCAATGGTGACATCTAAAGTTAGTGCTTTATCTGCGTTTACAAAAAAGAAAGAAGTTTGTTTAGGATGTAAGAGTGTCTTACCTAATGGTGAAGAAAAAAACGCTTTATGTAAATATTGCTTACCTAAACAAGAAGAACTTTACTATAAAGAACGTATTAAAGTTAATGAACTTCAAGAAAAATTTTGTCGATTATGGACCGAATGTCAGAGGTGTCAAGGAAGCTTACACGAAGAAGTTATATGCACTAGTCGAGATTGCCCTATATTTTATTTACGAAAGAAAGTTCAAATTGATTTAACAGGTCAGGTAAAGACAATGGATCGTTTTGGAGACCCTAATAAATAACTTGTTGATAAAAAATGTATTTTATTATAATTTAAAAAATTGGTAGAATTTGTATATTTCAACACTTATTTATTGTAAATTACATATTTTAACTGCAAAAAAACCTATTTGTTACCTACTATGGCTCCTGTAGTTATAGTTGAGTAATATTTTAGAAATAATATTTATTTTATTAATCTTACACTACTATATGATACTTTATTTTCAAGAATAAATTTTTATTGTAGTATTTTTCAAAAACTAATAGTTTATGTTATTTTAATGTACAATTTTTCACTTGTTTGTAGTTTAAAGCTTATCTATAACGAACATACATATTTTTATAAAAACTTAAATCTAGTATGTCTCAGTTAAATTTTTCTATAGTTGATCTTGTATTATCGTTTTTGGTATTTTTAATTGATAATAATTATGGCTAAGTTAGGTGGAAAATGTATTATTCTGAGATTATTAGTCAGTGATAAAAATACTAACCAATTAGGTTATGTATTATGGAAATTGTGAAAATATGTTAGGATAGTTGTTTACTACATTATAATTGATCAGAAAATAAAAACATCATTATTTTTAAAATATTTTTCATTATGAATGTAAATTTAACCAAAATGTTGACAAGGTTTTTTAAAAAAAAGGAACATACGCGGTTTTTTTAGTTTTGTAATATTGTGCAAATATAATTTCTCATAAATTTTGTGGTGTATTAACCTCGGTTAATGGTTCTTATTAACGGGAAGACTATTTTCAGAAATGTTGCTGTTTATTTTTTTTTTCAGATTGTAATCGAAAATAAAAGGAATGTACTTAAAGATTATTAAGTACATTTTTACCTTTTTACAACTTTAATTTTATAATTTGTATAGTATTATTATTATAGATCAAACCACTGTGGAAATGGCTGGGGAATTGGAGTGTTTAACCCAAAATTTGTATTCTATTTCTACCTATGGCTTGAACCCTTTTTATTTAGACACAAAAATTAAAATGATAAAAAAAAAGTTAAATAATTAGATCAAGTGTACAAAACAATGGAGTGCAATTATTTTAGTATTATTATTATTATTTTAGTTTTTAAAAATACAATTTTTTACGAATCTAACTCTGTAAAAGAACGAAGTAAGATACAAAAAGTTATATTTATTGACTGAATTAACAATCTAATTTTAATGGTAAATTTTATTCTATTCAGAAACTACCTAGATAATTTTATTGACTATTTCTTGATTATAGACATGTATTATAATTAATTACTATATTAGTACATAAACAAGCATTTTATAAAAAACTCTTCTTCTTGTTCCTCGCCTAAATCCCAACTACTTAGAGTCGGCCACCCTTATCCTAAACTTCCACTTGACACGATATCCCACATCAGCTGTCCTTAAATCGCATTCAATAGCATCCCTCCATCTCTTTTTTGGTCTTCCTCTACCTCTTCTTCCTTCAACATTTATTTCTATAATTGTTCTTACAGCTACTGATACTTCTCTCCTCATAACATTTTATAAAAAACTAGGTATTCAAATAATTATAATTAGGTTAGAAGGATTTTAATAAATCCAAACTTTTAATATTGAAATAATTTTTAGGCGCAATGCTTCTAATGGAATATGGCTGATTTTTCTATTGCCTTGTGCCATAATAATTGGTTATTTTAAGTTCAAAACCAATTCAGAGTCATGTACTATTTCTTGCATTGTGAGTTTTGGCCTTCTTATTAGTGCTTCAACTAATGTAATAAATTGTCTTCGATGTCCTGCAAAACCCTTTTTATGCGTGTAGTTATTGCATTAAGTTATATTGTAACTACTTCCATCGTAGCTCAACTTTTGACATTGTACACTAGTTTAGGTAAAAGTATTTTTCTTATATCTTCAATGTTGTTTAATTAATCGAGTTTATATTTATATTTATATTAATCGAATTTATAGGTGTTGTGTATAATGTGAGTTGTGGAGCATTTTGTGCTCTAACTTATCATAAGCTACTTGAATGGATAGTATATTGTTGTCCAATGAGTTTTTCATACGGAGAAGCTTCTATAGTTGTTCAATGCATCATTCTATTTTTTGTTACTGCCATAACTAATATACTTGCTCCATTTCAGCTACGTTCATGCTTCGGTTTATTTACAATAACTCTTCAGGTATTCAACTGCACTTTTTTTAAGTATTTACTTGAATTTAAAATATCGACACCTATTATTAATACTATTGGAGGTCAATTTCACTATTCCTACTGTTACTACTTAAATATGTAATATTGAATTTAGAATTTGAAAATGTAATTTTTCAAAAAACTTGTTATAAGGCTAGCGTGTTCAGAAATCAGATCACTTAAACATAAACGAATATTTAACTTAAATTTAAACCTTATCAAACATAGGCATATCTATGAAGAAAAGCAAGTTGTCAAATTTTCTTTAATGTAATGTATTAATAAATTATTTTTTAAAAATTATAAGCCCAAGAAAAATTACAATACCATAAAACGTTTTTATATCGATTGTCGACCAATGTCCAAAAATTAATTACACAAGTCGCTCGATACACAAGTCGCTCGATACACAAGTCGCTCGATACACAAGTCGCTCGATACATAAGACCTTCCATTTATTAAATAATTAAAAATTAATTAATTAATTTTTAATTATAAAATTCAGAACTCTTTATTATTATTATTATTATTTTTTACTCATAACTTAATTATTTTCTACGCTTTATTTGTCTATTTTTATATAACTAATAAACACCTATGAATATTAATTGCAAACATCATCATTATAGTTTGGGATTGCTAATTTATCAATTCTAGCATTGTCCGTTTACAAGATCAAAAAATTACGTTCCGCGAGAGCTTTTTACTTGGCCCTCGGTACCACTGCTATTATGATCGTATTACCTTTACATTTGGTACTCAATGGAAGTCCCATTTTAAAAATTATTCAGTGGATCATCAGGGATTGGCATACGGTAATGTAAAGCGCAAATCCATCACTCATGATCTTTTATTATTTCACTTTTTGATTAGATATTGCTTCTATTGTATTGGGTGTGTTGTTCTGTTTTTGCTGTAGTATTTGTTTACATCCAAATTATGAGTAATTCAAAAGCGTCAACTTCCATCAGAAAAAATTTTCATCTACTCGCGTGCCTCGTTTACGTTCCTGGATTGGTACAAGACCCATGTTTGCTGTTTTTAGCAAGTGGTGTAGCATTTGCCGCCTTTGTCCTATTGGAGGTAATTATGATAATAGATAGTAATAATAATGGTTGTAATGATAAAAATGAATTTATTTTTCCATTTGCAAATTTACCCCATGAGCAGATAAATACTTTTAGCATTTCTCCATATAGTTATATATTATAACTTGTTATATATATACTCAGTTATATATTTAACCAAAATTTGGATTAAAATTCATAATTTCTAATGGTAATTATACAATTTTTTATAATCGTAGTTAAACATAGGTCGGTGTACCCGAGTTGGTAACGCGGCAGTGTCTGATGTGCACTGTGTGGGGTTCGAGTCTCGGTCTCCAGTTCTCCATTTGTTGAATGAAACATCAGTTTAGTGATAGAAGTTGCCATACCTTTCTCTGACCATGGATTAACCACCTATCCCAGAGTGTACATGATTAAGAAACTTCCTCTTAAGGAAGGTCTCAAACGCCGTAAATGAATTGTAAAAAGCGATTAAAAAAAATAAAATAAAAAACCATTATTAGCTACAATGCGAAGCTGTAAAGGTATTGGTTTTTTGATGGTATGCGTTATTTTTCGCCTGTCTATAATAGTGTTCACTGAACCAATTTTAAATTTCAATACGTCTAAAGACCAGAAACTTTCTTTATTATGCTTATTTTGAATGTTCAATGAAAAACTTCAGTAAAGGAAATGTTTGAAAGAGAGCAACCACGCATGTAAACAATTTTTGAACATTTCAGGAAGGTTTAAAAATTTACCTAAATTAAATTAAAACTTTTGAAATGCACTACAATATTTAAAAAAAAAAACAGACTATTGTTCTTTTATAAGAAATCAGCCATCAGAGTAAATAAATAAACTTTCTTTTCAATTATGCATTTAATATTTGTGTAGAGTTTTAAAATTAGGAGAAATTGAAAAGTGTACAAATTATTGTAAAATTTAACAGATTCGTATCGAAACGTTTTTTTGCTACTTAAAGTTTTAAAGGCGCCATCGGCATATATTTTTTCCATTATAAATCTTAGGCTTAAACTAACGATCATACAAATTTGTGCAATTTTTGCTCAAAGTTAACGTGACATATTACTCTATAGGTATTAGTTTTACAACGATAATATTTAAAAATTAATTAATTAATTCTAAAATATTTAGACCATGCGTATCGCTAAAATTCCGCCTCTAAATGCTGCTCTTCAAAACGGGTTTAGCGTTTATTCAGACGAAAAAGATGAAGGACCTATTGCTTTTACTCCAATTTATTTGTTGGTTGGATGTTCTTTACCGCTATGGATTCACCCCAAACCTGATATAAAGAGCTTGTTACCCTTAATGTCGGGTATCCTATCTATTGGAATAGGAGATACGGCTGCTAGTGTTGTAGGATCAAGATTCGGACGTCACAAATGGAAAGGTGTGTTAATAATAAATAATTAAATACTTATAAATATTTATGTAAACTATTCATTATTATTATTTTTATTTGCTATGTAGGTACTCAAAAAAGTATTGAGGGTTCAATTGCTTGTTTTTTTTCCCAAATGTTCTGTTTCCTAGGGCTGAAATATGTGGGTTCGTATATATTTTTATCTTTTATAATTAATAATTGACTATTAAATCTTTGTTAACTCAACTTATAAATCGTTATTTTAGGTTTGGTTTGCAATGCAAATCTTATAATGCCAATTATAGGTATTGGTGTTACAACTCTCGTTGAAGCAAAAACTGATCAAGTTGATAATTTAGTACTACCTTTAATATTGTATGTATTTCTGCTATTTTCGACTTAAAATATTATTTAAAATTGTTAATTGTATATGAGTTATGGGTATATAATTTATAATACACCAGTGAAATAAATATTTGTAAAAATGTCATTGTTTTTATTAAAGGCTAAAATGATTCCCAAAAAAAAACATACCTCTTATTATTATTTTCATTTACTAAAGTATTTATTGTTATTGAGCTATTAAATTAATTTAATAAAATAGTTTTATTTTATTTTAGTATATTAGTGTAATTTTTAACAGAAAAATAATTTATTTATAAATATGACTAAACTTATACATAATTTTGATTATTTCGTTTACCACAGTTGATTTGATTTTATCAGGACAATGACAACACTCATCGATGTCATCACTCGAAATACCTAGAAAATTATTTTATAATAAATTTACCATAAAATATGTTTTAGAATTAAATCACGAATAATATGCTTTGAAAAATACGTGTGACATTCTTACTTTGCGAACCAGTCGTTTCTGTTGCTGGCTAATCGTTTGATATCTTGAGCTTTGTCATTCAAATCGTATGATAATCTGCTAGTAAGAGACTTCTCACTTTTTAAACTTTTTACTTTCCTTATGATTTTAAAAATAACAGTTTTAACAGTTTTATTGTAATAAAATATTTCTTAGAAGCGTAATTACTCATCAGATTTTAATTGTGTTGATTTCCCTACAACATATCTCGCCACAGATAAATAATGTTCTTTAGCACTCAATTTTTTTTTATTTAACTTTACAGCTTCGACATCATTATTGTACCACATTTTTTCTTTGCTACTCACTATGGTTGGCTTATCTATTAAATGTGTCCACTGTTTATCATATCTGTAAAAATTAAACGCAAGCCTTTATTTATACATGTATTTAGTGAATAAAAATGATTAGAATGAACGAACTTCAACTCTTCATTATTAATATCATGAAACGTGGGCTTAGCTGTTTGAAGAAGGGAGTTATGTGATTTCATTAATGACGGTGGTTGTCTTTTTTGCCATTGATTGTTTTTAATGTATAGTAATTCATTATTATCATGTCCAAGATGTTGTTGTCCAACTTGAAAATATGGTTGTCTAAAATTCAATATATATTTATAATGGTTAAAACATTAATTAAATTTAAATTAATTTTATTTATACTGGTAGTATAAATTTTTTAATAAAAAAAATATCCATTTTATATGCTGATTTTCAACATAGTAGTTTACATGTAAATGTGTAAATTACTATTGTAACAAGGTTAATAAAAATTAATTGATTATTTGATTAAGTAAGAATTAAAATCCAGGAAATGATCATAAGTTTGTTACAACTATAGCAATTTCATTTTGAAGGCGTTTATTTCAAAATCAAAAGTAACTCATAAAATTTATTTTTATTAATGATTACCTTAATGCATTTTGAGCATTAGGTCTTTTTATTGGGTTCCAACTGAGTAATAGCTCTAACAAATTTATACCGTCACGGCTTGCATTAGGAACTACTGTATTTAACACTAATTTCTTAAATTGCGGAAATTTAAAATTCATAGCAGAAGCTAATTGGTAACCTTCAAACCATTCCTTCTGAAATAATAAATAATAGTTAAACATTATATATATATATATATATATATATATAGTTGTAGGTAATTTTATTAGTAATGTATCCCAATTTCTACATAATCTTGTTTCATCACGTGATATTTTCTGAAGTTGTCGTGTGCGTGTTTCATGACATAGTAACTGAAACGTTTTATTTATGAAGTAAAACTGTCTTAAAAATTAGGAATTAAAAATATGGTAATAAAGCGATGAGCTTAATGGCATACATTTCCAGTTTGTTTTTATTTATACCACGATTTAAACGAAACTTAAACTTAATTTTTCTATTTCAAAAATAGAATTTTTTTTTTTTAATTTTTGCGTGACTACTTTGGGATTATGTATTTATTTTATAACGATTTATTATATTATATGTATGCATGGTTTTTAAATAAAACTAACTTATTATAAACATCCATTAAACTCGGAACCTTACCTTGTCTGGTGTACCCATGACAGAACATATTTTGAATATTTGATCAATCTCACTAGTACCTGGAAATAGTGGTCTAAATGTGTATAGCTCGGCCATTATGCAACCAACAGCCCATAAGTCAATTGGTGTGTTATAATTAACTGAGTGCAGTAATACTTCTGGAGCTCGATACCATCGAGTTGATACATAATCAGTATACGGAGGACGAGATCTAGTCTCTCGAGCCAAGCCAAAATCGGCAATCTTAACTAATTCTGGACCACAACATAAGAGGTTTTCTGGTTTCATGTCACGATGGAAAAAACCATGCCGATGCATAAAAGCTAATCCTTGGAAAATCTATAATTAAAAAAAAAAACATTACTTTTATAATTCTAATTAATTAATAATTATTTTGTTATAGTATCGTTTCTTAAAAAGCATTTATCTTTGAATACTTTTCTTAGCTCTTTCATTTTTTTATGATTTTCCTATCAACGTTTTCCGATCAATTTATTACCTGATAAAGTATATTTCTTATTGATTGTTCAGGAAAAAATTTTGTTTGACTTCGCATAAGCTGATATAAATTTTCTTTCATGTGTTCAAAAACAAAGTAAAGGGTATCGTTTTCTCTTATAACTTCTCTCAGTTTAATCAAATTCGCATGATTCAATTTCTTTAGAGACTAAATCAAACACAATTATAAATGTATGGAAGTTTATTGATATCTTAAATTTGTTACAAATAAAAATATACCTTAACTTCTCTTAAACTCATAGCTTCTTCCCAAGAATAATATTTTCTTTTCATCCTTAAAAGTAAAAAATAATAATTGTACTTTACAATATTACAAAAAATATCTACTTTATGTTATGTTGGTTAATTTCTTAAATTACACAAGATTATTTACAGCTACGACCTTTAAAAAAATACATAATACACAATTTTTATGCAGATAGTATCAGAAGTGTATCTATGGGGGGTGGGTTTGAGTACCAAATTTCTCAATTCTGGTAGAATTTATTATTATTATGAATTAAAATAAGAACATAAAAATATATGTGAGCAGTTTATATACATGTATATATTTATAATTTAAAGAAAGCCATTAAGTAGCAGGAAACTATTTAAAAATAATACGTTTAGTAATTTTTTTAATGTTTTCAAGATGAATTTCAATTAATGTGTCAAAAAAAGTTTAATTTAAACTTTAACATTAATAAGAACAATGTTATTGTAATATAGTTTAATAAGTGAGCTTGTAAAACTACTTTATTAATTTGTGCATTTATCTTAATATTTAAATTTTTTATGTATATAACTTTGGCCATTTATAAAGAGGGTAAAAATTCACAGTAGAGTTGATAAATTATAATAACAGTTAAATAAAAAACTTTTTATTTGAATACATTAATAAATTACTAAAATTTAGCTGAATAATTTTCTATACCTTTTAATAGCCACTTTTTCTCCGGTATCTATGTTTTGTCCTAATACAACAGATCCATACGTGCCATCTCCTAATTGGTTTAAAATAATGTATCTGTTCATACTGGTTAATTACCATGTCTTTTCATACAAATGACGAGTACATCATTCACCATTAAACTGAGTAATATGACACTGTTTATTTTTCAACTGTTATGCAAGTTAAATATGCAAATAAGTAAAACAATTATATTAAAAGCAATATTGATCAACATAAAAATGATATAAAAGGAAAGTCAACCAGGCTATACACGATTAACCAACCACTTTTTCTTAAAAATGACTACTAATCGTTGCTAGGTTACACACGAAGTACAACCACAAGGACTTGTCCAAATATTCGTGAAGTTTATTTTAAAATGTTTACTTAAATTTCATACTCTATTATTCAATCGATAAAAAGTAATAGTAAAATTCATTTCAAACAAATATTTCATTCTTTTAAGTATTTTATTTAAATAACAAATTGCCGCCTTAATTTTTATAACTATATGTAAAGCATTAAAAAAACATTTATATTTATTCAAAATAGTTTTTTATTTATGAATGAACTACAGTTTTCAATCATAGTATAAATGCAAACTTCCCAGACTTGTCTGGTCTTGAATTTTTTTAGAATTAAGTTTTAGAAGTTTACCTAGTTTAAAGAATGGTGAGATTAGTGATCAAAAATTATTTTTGGTATATTCTAAAATTATCTAATATATGATAGATAATTGCGAAAGAGACGGCGAAAATTACTAGGTTTTCAAGTTTTAAACAAAGTTTACATGATTCGGGCACAGTGAAACGATTGAAATTATATATCAAATTTATTACATTTCATTAATGGTTCAATAGATAAATAAAACATAATTGTTAAATTTCAAAAGCCATGACTATTATCAAAGATAAAATTGTTGTCTTCTCTACAGTAAACTCTAGTTCATCATAGTCTGTTAGTATAACACATTTAGAATTTTAATAAACATAAATTACTTCAGCTAAAAATTTAATTAATTATTTTCATACTTTTTAAATTTGTAAACAATTAATATTAAAGTACCCAAACCCTTTTCACGTTTGTTAAATTTATACGTGTAAATAATAACCCAGACTTCTTCTGAAAAAAATTATTCAAGTATTTATTTTATTGGGTATTTCAATGACTTCTATAATCACATATTTGGTATAAAAATAACATGTAAATGAAAAATAAATAAAATTACTTATTATGCTAATACATGTATAGATTGCAAATATTTAAACAAAACGTAAAGAAAAAGTATAAATCAATGAACAATATTAGACTTACAATTGGCTATACCCGATTCTTTAATGAAATTGTTAAAGTATTTATTTTACAGGAGTTAATAATAAAACAATTTATTCTGTTACGAATCCATAAAATAACCTTGGTAATTTTTTATTACTAACATAAGACACCTATTTTCTTGTTATAGTATTTGTTGTCTACGCGGTCCTGAAAGGGTTATTGATGGCGGGACTTATCGTGTTCGTAAATTCATTCCTGACCTCTGGTATACCCCAAAAACGAGCTAAAGAAAAGTTCGCCCTCGTTTAGATACCAAAAATTTCCCAATGATTTTAACCCAAAATGCACAATATGTGTCACCGAATCGTGTGTGGTATAACTATTTTAAACTATAAATGTATTAAAAAGTATGAATAAATTATCCACCTGGCAATTTTTTTTTAAACGAATAATGTAAAAAATATAGTAAGTAAACTATTTTCATTGAAATAATACCTCTAAACACTTGTTGAAATTAAGGTAATAACCGATTAATATTTTAACAGTAGTTTATTTAAAAGATTTTAGACAATTTTTGAACAACTACTCAATTAGAGAAATTAAATTTTTGATTATTAATCTATTTTTTAAAGCATTTATCACATTTTTGTTCTTATATTAATTGAAAATTATTCTTTGGTATACATTTTATCACAAAATTCCTAAAATAATGTCGAGTTTTACCTCTCGTTGGGAGACTATTGATATTAACAATACAATTTCCTTAATAATCTCTTTACGCTACAATTCTCATATATTTGTAATATGGCTATAGCAGTTAAATCACTTCCGATTTTACTTGTGTGGACTAATCAATTTGACTCGCCTATTTAACAAAGTTATTTTATTTTCTAGGATATCTATAACTATTAAATAATTAAATTATTTTTTTTAACATTTCATATTTTTATAAAATCAACACATTATTACTTAGTATCAATATAGCGTTTCTTTTTATTAAAGTTTAAAAATTGTAAAAAACTAAAAAAATTTTTCGCTTCGCTCAGACTGTAAATTAATATGAAACAGCCGATAGACTTTCTCTCAGATTCCTTACAGCTTGCAAGTAAAATAAGGATGCAAAAAAGTCGAAGATAAAAAAATTTAAGGTAGCCATTTACTAGTGCTCCAATTTAGATGTTTTGTTAGTTAAGACGAGATTTTTTGTAATACTTATTTTACTAACCATTTGACATTCATTAAAAATTAAATGTTCGGTAGAATATTAAATTTTCGACCGATCCTTTAATGCTTTTTGAATAGTAATTTTTATCACTTTAAAATTTTTTATATAATAATTACATAAAATGGACTAGTCTAAAATAATTAAAATGTAAAATCTTTGTTTTTTCTATTAATGAGTTCTAAGAGACTTCTATAGAGGAAAAAATAAATGTAAAAATTCAAGTATAGTTTCATACTTTTGTATTACAAAAATATACAACAAGATTGTAACATATAAAAACCAAATATCTTAAAAGTGAGTATATACTGGAATGTAATGACAAAACATTTAATCAACTTCTTCAATAGTTGGTCCAGCACCGGCACCACCTCCTGGAGTAGCACCAGCACCTGGCATACCTCCAGGCATACCGCCCGGAAAACCACCAGGCATTCCTCCAGGCATACCACCAGCTCCTCCAGCACCAGCATACAATTTAGTAATGATAGGGTTGCATATACCTTCTAATTCTTTCTGTTTGTGTTCATATTCTTCTTTATCAGCTAATTGGTTAGCTTCTAACCATTTAATAGTTTCATTCACCTTATCCAATATTGTACTTTTGTCAGATTCTGGAATTTTATCTTTAATTTTATCGTCTTCCATTGTACTCTTCATGTTAAAGCAATAAGATTCTAAACTATTTTTGGCTGCAATAACATTCTTTTGGGCTTCATCTTCTTCTTTGTATTTTTCAGCATCATTTACCATACGTTCAATATCTTCTTTGCTGAGACGACCTTTGTCATTAGTAATAGTAATCTTGTTTTCTTTGTTGGTAGACTTTTCAATAGCACTCACATTCAAAATACCATTAGCATCAATATCAAAAGTAACTTCAATTTGAGGAACACCACGAGGTGCTGGGGGAATAGCTGTAAGTTCAAATTTACCAAGTAAATTGTTATCTTTGGTCATAGCACGTTCTCCTTCATAAACTTGGATAAGCACTCCGGGTTGGTTGTCAGAGTAGGTAGTGAAGGTCTGAGTTTGCTTGGTAGGGATAGTTGTATTACGCTTAATAAGAGCTGTCATCACGCCTCCAGCTGTTTCAATACCAAGTGACAAAGGAGTAACATCAAGCAAGAGTAAATCTTGAACTTCTTCTGATTTATCTCCGTGCAAAATTGCAGCTTGTACAGCAGCTCCATAAGCAACAGCTTCATCTGGGTTGATAGACTTGTTCAATTCTTTACCGTTAAAGAAATCTTGCAATAATTTTTGTACTTTTGGAATACGAGTAGAACCCCCAACAAGAACAATGTCATTGATTGCTGATTTATCGATCTTAGCATCTCTTAAAGATTTCTCAACTGGTTCCATAGTACTTCTGAAGAGGTCAGCATTCAACTCTTCAAAACGGGCACGAGTGATGGATGTGTAAAAATCAATACCCTCAAACAATGAGTCAATTTCAATGCTGGCTTGAGTGGATGATGACAGAGTTCTTTTTGCTCTTTCACAAGCTGTTCTTAAACGTCTCAAAGCTCTCTTGTTAGTAGTGACATCCTTCTTGTATTTGCGTTTGAATTCTTGAACAAAGTGATTTACCATCCTGTTATCAAAATCTTCACCACCCAAATGAGTATCACCAGCAGTAGATTTTACTTCAAAAATACCATCTTCAATGGTCAAGATGGATACATCAAAAGTACCACCACCTAAATCAAAGATGAGTACATTGCGTTCTCCAGATGTCTTTTTGTCTAAACCATATGCAATGGCAGCCGCTGTAGGTTCATTAATAATACGCATAACGTTTAAGCCAGCAATAGTACCAGAATCTTTAGTGGCTTGACGCTGAGAGTCATTGAAGTAAGCTGGAACAGTGACAACTGCATTTGTAACAGTTTTTCCTAAATAAGCTTCAGCTGTTTCCTTCATTTTTGTTAAAACCATTGAAGATACCTAGTAAAATTTAATTAAATAAATTATCACTTGTCTAATTTTAATAAGTAAATACAAAAATACATACCTCTTCAGGTGAGAATGTTTTGCTTTCTCCTTTGTATGTAATTCTTATCTTAGGTTTTCCACCATCAGAAACTACTTCAAAAGGCCAATGTTTCATATCAGCTTGCACAGTAGTATCATCAAAACGTCTACCAATCAATCTCTTTGCATCTATTACCAAATACATCATCATTAATAGAATAATTTTTTATCAAAATAAATATTACATACCAAAAATAGTATTGTTAGGATTCATGGCAACTTGGTTTTTGGCCGCATCACCAATAAGACGTTCTGTGTCTGTGAAACCAACATAACTAGGAGTAGTTCGGTTTCCCTGGTCATTGGCAATAATTTCTACTTTCCCATGTTGAAACACACCAACACAAGAATAGGTGGTACCCAAATCAATACCAATAGCTGGAGTTTTGGCCATTTTTAATATAATTAATTTAAATTACAAAAATATATAATAAGATATTGGATTACAGTCTTGGTAACAATGTCCTAAAACAAAAAAGTTCAATTATTTTTAATGTTAATCATATGTTAAAATTTACTGTATAACAAACTGGCTACAATTATAACACAACCAAATAAGTTTAAGTTAGCTTTAACAAACATATCACAGAATATAGTTTAAGTAAATTCTGATAAAACTCCAGGGTTTAAAATATATAAATATGCAGTTGAATTCTATGTTTAGTATATAAATTTAATATACCAGTATCAATAATATCTATATATCATTTATGCATAAGATGTTTTCAAATGAATGCATAAAATGTATTAACTATATAATATCTGTATCATGGTATTACTAGAAATATACAAGGTGAACTGGTCTGGAAACTTTGTACACTCGTAATTATTTCCAAACTGAAGAGTTAGGTTCTATCAGCCTATTAAAAGAAGTAATGAATTTAAAATAAATAAGTTTTTTTATTATTATTAAGTATTACAGTATCTTTATAACAATTACTACCTAAAACCTAACACGTGACGATATAAATCAAATTTGAATGTGATGGATTGCATAAATATTAAGTATAAAGTATAAAAGTTTGATAATTAAACATGACAAAAATAAATAATAATATATTGAAATACGATTGCTTTCCAATAATATTAATTTTTTTTGATATTTAAATAACTAACCTATAAGAAACACGTTAAATATAAAAAATATTTTAAATAGTGAATACAATGTATATAATAATTCAGAAAATGATTTAAAAATTGAAAGAAAATCACTATAAAAAGTACCTGCCTAATTTTCTATAGAATTAATTAATTTTTCAATTGAATAAAATTTTCTACTTACAAGAGTGTTGCTCTGTACAGTGATCTTGAACAAAATGGACGATTTTATGTATTAAACGGTAACTTATAGTAAAACATTGAACAAAGACGTACAGTGTTCCGATTACTGAATTTTCTAGTGGGAATATATCATAGTGGAATATTCTAGATATAATTGGAAGAAAAAAACATTTTTTTCCAGTTCTTAAAAACGTTTATAAAAAAAAAATAGTAAAATGTGAAAATTAAACTAATAATGCTCATATAAATTATTAAAAAATAGTAATATTAAAAAAATTAATTATTTTAAAATTGAACAAATTTCATGGAGTATATAAATTTTATATATTTTTTGTAATGAAATTGTTATCAATTGTTTCTTATCAATATTGTTGTTTTTAAATACGTCTAATTTGCATACGCATTGCTACAAATTAAATATTAAACAATACTTTGAATATATAACATAAAAATAAAACATTTTTATTGAAAAATCTCCTTTAGCGTCTTATAATCCGTAGTTTCTTATATTCTAGTCAAAATAATGTTTTTTAAATTAAAACCTATTTATCGGAAACATTTTATGTTAAATACTATGTCTACTGTATATTCCTAGTAAATTAAAATTTAGATATTATTGTATTTTTAGTATGATGACCAACGACGATTTATGTAATCTTGAATCATGGGGTTTGCCACCTCAAATTTTAAATGTATATAATATAACTATAAATATTAATATGTGTATGTTTATATTGATTTTATTTTAATACCTAGAATTATAAAAAACGTGGAATTTTATCAATGTTTCCTTGGCAAGTGGAATGCTTAACCAGTGAAAGTGTTTTAGACGGCCGTAATTTAGTTTATTCTGCACCAACATCAGCTGGTTAGATATTTAATTTTTCTTTCTTTAACAATGTTTATGTTCCTCTATTTATTGTTGAAATATTTACCACCAAAATGTTGTTTTAATTTGTTTTAAATTTCTTTTTTACTCGATCTTGTAGTAAATTCATTATTTTCAATTTAGTATATGTATTATTAACAAGTTATTTAAATTAAATTATAATATATAGGTAAAACAATGGTTGCTGAAATTTTAGCTATGCAGACAGTTCTAGAGCGGGATAAGAAAGTTTTAATTGTTCTTCCATTTGTTTCAGTTGTACGAGAAAAAATGCTTTATTTTCAAGTACTACTTTATCTTAATAATATATTTAATTAATTTTTTAATCAATTAAACTATAATATATTTTTAAAGGAATTATTTGAAGGGACAAATAAAAGAGTTGCTGGATTTATGGGGAGTTATACACCTCCTGGAGGTTTACGATCGGTTAATGTTGCAATTGCTACTATTGAAAAAGCTAATGGATTAATAAATCGGTATAACCAAAAAAAATTTATACCATAAAAATATTATTTTTAATAAAATTTAGATTTACTAAAATTTTATGTAATATTGTGAATAATTTCTAGATTGATGGAAGAAGATGGGTTACAAGACATAGGTTGTGTAATTGTCGATGAATTACACATGCTTGGTGATTCTAATAGAGGATATTTATTAGAGTTATTATTAACAAAAATTAAATATATGTCTAAAATGTAAGTGCATAGGTTATCTTAAATGTTTTTTTATAGTTTAATTATATAGAATGTTCAATAAGTTAGAAACGGGTTTCTATTGTTCTTATTGTTTGCAATAATTGAGCTGTTACCTTACTTTTGAAACACTGTATAATGTATGTAAATTATTTTTTTACCCTAGCCGAAGTAATATATCAGTTCAGATAATTGGTATGTCTGCTACTTTACCAAATTTAGAGATGCTTGCAAAGTGGTTAGATGCCACTTTGTATCAAACAACTTTTCGTCCAATTCCATTAAAAGAATATTTAAAAGTTGGTAAAAATATATATAATGCAAAAGATTGTTCTCTTAGTCATACTATAGAACCAGATTATGGAATAAAGGTTAGTAAATTATAAAGGTATTTAAAAATATACATTTTTTTAAAATTATATATTTGAGTTGCACTCCAAAAAAAAAATAAGTTTTTAAAAAGTCACATTTAACAATTGTTAAGATAATCCTGTTTATGTATTTATGTATTCATAGTGAGTTGGAAATTCAATAAAGAATTGCTGTAAATTAATCTGGTTTTTGTGAAATGATTTTGATAATACAGCATTAGGAAAAAAGAATATAGAAGTAGAGAAAATTGATGAAAGTAAATTGAGATGAGAAAATAGAGAGGACATACTGTAGAGCAGTCATTCTCAAAGTGGGCGATAACGCCCCCTAGTGGGCGTTGGTAGTATTTAGGGGGGTGGTAGAATGCCCAAAGAAATTTTGGGGGCGTTGAGTTGGACTTAGGGGGCGATAGCTGATTAAGCCTAATATATATCTAGAATCTAGATATATATAAAAAATAAAAATTAAAAAAAAAATAAAATTATATTAAAGCCAAATACTACTCACTCACTGATCGCGAATTAACTTATAATATGATGCTAATGATTTACCACCAATACGTATTGTGCGACGTGGCGGGCCACAGGTTTTTAGCTATTATCGTGTAGATATAAATAGTTCCTAGAAGTTTTTCGTCGTCTCCCGTAAATAATAATCATTAGCGTTATCGAAACGGCGACAATAGCTGATAATTTAGTATTTATTATTACACTACGTCCAATACACAATGTATACTCAGGCTTCGGTTATTTGAACATTTTAGTTTACGATTTGGTGTCGCTTCGTGCTGGCCGTATTGTGTTTTGATTGCTCGTATAAAATACCTAGGAAGTAAAAAATATGTCGGAAGCAAAAAAGAAAAAAAGACAATACAGTGCGGAATACATTAAATACGGATTTATTCAAAGTCGGACAAATCCATCATCGCCAATGTGCCTTATTTGTCAAAAAACATTTTCAAACGAAGCAATGAAGCCTTCTAGACTAAACGATCATTTAAATAAAATGCATCCAGACATGAAAGGCAAAGATGTCACCTATTTTCAAAATATGGAAAAAAAATACCTAGCTCAACCTACTGTATCGACACTTTTTTCTGCTGCTTCCAAACAAGAAAATGATGGACTTCGTGCATCGTACAATATATCATTGTTAATTGCTAAAACAGGCAAACTTCATACCATTGGGGAAGACTTAATTCTACCGGCAGTAAAAGAAGTAATAACAACTGTGCTCCATAAACCAGCGGCAGATATTATCCGAAAAATTCCTTTGAGCAATAGTTCTGTACAACGAAGAATTGATGAAATGGCGGAAAATATTGAAGAATCATTGTGTAATCACCTTTACCACTTTACCTACTAATGAAGCATTATTGTTATCATACGTGAGGTTTATAAAAAATGAGAAAATATGTCAAGAACTATTATTTGCGAGAAATTTAGAGACAGATACAAAAGGAGAAACAATATTTAATACACTGGAAAAGTTTTGTGATGAAAAGCAAATTCCCCTGAAGAATATTATGTCAATTGCTACTGATGGTGCTCCAGCTATGACAGGGCGTCACAAGGGCTTCATAGCTTATTTAAAAAATAAAGTTCCTGACGTGCTTGCCATACATTGCGTCATTCATCGCCAGCATTTAGTTGCGAGAAATCTGAGTGAACGCCTTCATACATCACTGCATTATGTTATTAAAGCCGTTAATAAAATCAGAAGCAACTCATTAAATGACAGATTATTTAGTCAACTTTGTGTTGCTAATGATGAAGATTTCAACCGGTTGCTGCTTCATACAGAAGTACGCTGGCTCTCAAAAGGTACTTGTCTGACTCGGTTTTATAATTTGTTTGACTCTGTGATAGAGTTCCTGAAAAACAAAGAAACAGGACTTCACGATAACCTCATCACTTCAAAGAATGATATTGCGTACTTGACAGATCTCTATAAGTTATTTAATGATGTAAATCTCCAACTTCAAGGTGACGACTTGAACTTAATTAAAACAAAAACTGTCATTGCTATATTTGTTGCTAAACTGCTATTCTACAAGAGAAATATTGGTAGACGTGAATTTAATAACTTTCCTAATTTATCAGCAGATCCTTTTATCAATGACGACTTGGTTGTTTACTGCCAACACTTGGAGAACTTACACAGTGATTTCAAAGAACGATTCCAGGACATTTTAAACATGGATATACCCAACTGGGTATTAGATCCATTTTCAAATGTCAACACAGCAGAATCATCCCAGATAGAAGAACAACTTTTAGAATTGACCACGAATGAAGAAATCAAATTTAAATTCAAGAATGGCTATCAAGAATTTTGGCTGCAAAAGCCAATCATGCAACTCTACCCTAGTTTATGGTCAATTGTTCAACGATTTCTGATACCATTCCCTTCATCATATTTGTCTGAACGTGGATTCAGTGCCGTAACAACACTAGTAACAAAAAAAAAAAATCGGTTGCTTGTTACCGAACGTGGTGATTTACGGCTGTTTTTGAGTAAATTCGAACCAGATATTAACAAACTCGTCAATGCGCATCAAGTGCATCCATCACATTAAGTAAATTCATCAAGTAAATTTTAAATTTTGAATTGTTATTAAATACTTGTTTTTATACCTATATATATATATATATATATACGAGGTGTGTTCAAAAAGTAAGGTGACTTTTCAAATTTCGCGGGCTACGTCCGTTCGATCTTAGATTTTTTTTTATGTCATGTTGGTACACTCGTACCGAACATCTGTACACAGTTTCAAGTATATAGCATATTTAGTTTGTTTTTGACAGATACAAAGATTAGACGTATTTTGGTGTGCTCGGCGATTTTCTGCTATCAAAAAAAAA